TATGAAAAAAATAAATCAGAAAATCTAAAAATACATGAAAAAACAACAAATACAACAGAAAGAAGGAAATGGACAATGAAATATTCATATACGTCAGACGTGTTTTTAATTTGCGTAAACTATTCTTTCGCCAGAATTTTAGTTTGTGTGGCAAATACGTTACTGATGGGCTGAAGAGACTGTGTTTCTATAAAGTAGAGGAAGTTTCATGAATTAACAAGACAAACCCACTTTTCTGAATCACAATAAAGCACTGGTTGGAAGTTTACAGGATACTTCAATAAGACATAATCTATTAAGGTTAGAATTAGCTAGTTTATATTCAATACATTACATTACCTATCACTGTTGACAACTTATTCCTGTCACCAGTATTCTAACATGAATATTATTGTTATAATTTATGGAGAGTGGAATCCATTCAGTTTAAATATAAAAATTACTAATAGTTCAAATTTTATCAAATAGCTATCAAGGTCAATATCTTAGTTTTTTTTCTCTCATCTTGTTTAATCTTTGATCAACAAATGAAGTTTTAAAATACCAATTTTTCAGGTTAAACAAACACGTACATACCTTACAAACAAATTAAGAATCTACAATAACAAAATATCCTGTACAGGATTAGAAGACAACTTGAATTTAAATCAAGTAACAATATATAAATATACAGTACAGAAAAAAATTCAATTCAAGGAATGGAATCTCAGGGCATGAATTTATATAAAAGTATAAATTTGGCTTTTTTACTAAAAAGTATAAATTTCAAATTCATTTTTTAAAGAGTTTTTCCTTTTTTATAGATTTATTATAAACTGTAGACATTGGAAGTAGATATTACTAGAAGTATTTCTAGATCAAAATACATTTTTATAAAATTTTATGAAGTTGGAAAATGTCATGTTACTGCACAACACCTCATAAGAAATGTTAATAAAATATTCTTCTGACACTACAGATGTGCCAACTATAACATCTACATAGTTGTAAACATCAAGGAATTGGAAACACACAAGATTCATAAAATATACATGCTGCAAAACTAGAAAAATTACTGTAGTTTTCAATAATGAAATATTTATACTGTGCAAATATTTGAAATATACTTTTGTTTCACGTGCAGAGAAATACATTACAGATACTAAAAGTCAGTCTAAACATCAGAAATTTCAACATATTTAAAGAATTAGTTAGAATAATCATTATAACACATTTTCCATGGATTGTTTCTTAAGCAAACAGGAACGGCAGCAGGTGAAATGTAACATAACCGAATGAGAATTTCATTGAGAAAACTATGTATTCACAAACAAACAAACAGTGAGAATGTAGAATGCTGATGTTACGGTGAGAATGTAGAATGCTGATGTTACGGTGAGAATGTAGAATGCTGATGTTATGGTGAGAATGTAGAATGCTGATGTTACGGTGAGAATGTAGAATGCTGATGTTACGGTGAGAATGTAGAATGCTGATGTTACAGTGAGAATGTAAAAGGTTACATATGGATATACTAGTTTGAACAGTTTTGTTAAGCATAAAACAACTATTTTTAGTGTACTAGGAAGAGGAAAAAGGATTTAATGAGATACATTGTTACATACAATGTCACTGTATAAACTGCTAGAAAAAGCAGCATTATTGGAGTTTCAGAATATTCAAAATTATGCTACAAAAATTTTCTGGAAACTTATAAAAAAAACCATAATAAAACACAATATAAAATTTTTTTAAATGATGTTTGTGATAGCAAACCGACTCATCAAAATTCAAAGTACACTTAATCCTCTGAATTCTGGGTAATGATGTCTTTGTGACAATTATCACATGGTGTTCTTTCCTGACTGAGCATATATTGAAAATTTAACTATATATATATAAGAAAGCTTTACTAAGGGTTCATTCATTTTTCAGCAGGCTTGAGTAACCATATTACATCCACTTCCCAGTAAATGCTCTCTGTATATATGGAACAGCCTCATTAAAAAACAGTAATTAGTATAGATAATTATATGAGAATGCTACAGGTCTATTATAAAAAAAAATAGTTTATTTGTAAAATAACTTACAAAAGAGATAGTGGAAAAGTAACCTAAGCTATTTTTGTACATTACAACGTTAACCCTACTTTCTTTATAGTTACATGCCTACCCAAAGCTGCTCTGTTGTGATGATTGAATGAATAAGTTATGATTGCTCTACAGTTACTGAATAAGTATGACTCGAACTGGAAGAACTATGTAACAAGACTACAGTAATGCTAATGGTTACAGTAGAATATCCATAAAACTACTGTGTATAATTTATTAAAAACAGTATACAAATATTTCTAAAAGTAATTCAAAACTAAAGTAAC